CCCGGTGATCGCCTGGAGCTCCGAAATTGGCATAGCAAATTTTCAAATAGGTGCTATCTTTATAAATAAACCGCAGATTTGAGTTTTAAACAATTACATTCTTGCCTGAAAAACCCTTAAAACTACATTTTATGACACAATAACAGTAATATTTAGAAAATTACGCGGGTTTTTGGGCAATGATGTTTCACAAGTCCACAAGAACACATATTGAGAAACGGCTATTGTCTGTGTCAAAATATAAAATTATAAAATACCCGGTTATATTTTTTTGTGTTTGCGCACTCTGATGTAAATAAGCCCAACACTCATGGACAGCAGAGCGGAACGAGTGAAGGACGCTTTATCCTCTTGTATCACGCAAAAGTGACGATTCTAGTCAACCAATCATCATTCTGCTGTGAGTTTAGCTCCACCCTTTTGGTACCCTTTGCTGTGCTAGGTACCCCAATGGAAGGGTACCAAAAAAGTGGTACGGTACGGTTCGCTATTTTGGTACCATTCACAACTTCTGACAGTGGAAACGGACATAATTGCGTACCGTACTGTACTGTACCGAACCGTACCGCTCAGTGGAAATGAGCCATTATTGTGAACAATTAATTTGTGCATATGTTACAGTCGCTACTTCTGTTTCATTTGCAACTTTAACAGAACCAAGTGTCATGAAAACCATTTGATTCCGATATTTCCAAAAATACAATGAATCTTTGTCATCATTATTATTATTATTATTTTAGAGGCCAGTTGTTTTAATATTTAATAAATGTAAAAAATTATATACTGTGTAGTAGCATTGTAGTAGTGAATATTTTTGGTGTGGAAAAATGCAAATATTTTAGACTAGTTATATTGGACGTTGAGTGATCAAGCTTTTCTAGGGTTTGTTTATTGTGGTGCAAAAAAATACATAATTCATGGATGTGAAAACCTGCGGCTCCCCCTTTTGAACCTAGTTTGTATCTGTTCATAGATAAGCAATGGTTAATCAACTAAAAGTTTCCTCTCTTTTTATTCTTCCCCTTCTTTCTCTTTTTCTGTCCTTTTTTAACACCTCAACACTTCTTCTCCCCCCTTCTTCCACTGGCATCCCCCTGACCCCCTCAGAACGGGGTTGTTCACCCCTGATCTGGCCTTTGAGACTATAGTGAAAAAACAGATCCGCAAACTGAAAGAGCCCAGCCTGAAATGTGTGGACCTGGTGGTGTCCGAACTCACCACCCTCGTCAGGAAAAGTGCCAAGAAGGTAACCAGGAGCGGATCGAGAAAAGGCGGAGTCAAAAAACTCCTCATCCCTCTATTTCCACACACTGCCGCCCACCTTCCCATTCAGCTTTCCACCTGTATGAATCAGCCACGCCCTCTCCGCCACACCCATAGTGATTGTCTGGAATGTGTCCATGTGGCTTGTCCAAAGTTGGTGTTCTGTTCCATAATGAGCCTTGCATTTCCATATCCCATGTGAATCCAATAAAAACCGTTCAGATTGCTTGGAAAAATTGGATGTTTCCAAGATGAATCAGCTTTAGAGCCCCAGTTCCAGCATTTGTCAGTGGCACATCACCTTCTTTTATTTTTTGTTGCTTTAGTAGAGCATCAGTTAGCCTCAACCACTGACTGTAAAAGTAAAAGACACACAGTGACAGACGCTTTGCCTCCTGCCCCAGACACAAAAGGCTGCTGCTGTTGTCATAGCAACAAAGAACCAGTCACCTGCCGTCTTGTGGTCATAGGTGGAACTGCAGTGCTTGATTCTTGATTCTGCCCTCTCCAATGCCACACATTCTTTTTGAAAATGTCACATTCTTTCCCTTCTTGAGTCTTTTTCACTCTCAGTTTTGGAAGAGTATCGGTGGGAATTTAATCAAAAAAAAAAAGTGCAAATATTTCCTGCATTTTACATGAAATTGTTATCACTTAAGATTTATATGTTTTAATAACTAGGGATGGGAATCGTAAGGAGCTTACCAATACTTGCTGTAGTTCCAATTCCACTTAAAGAGCAGGTCATATGGTATTTTAAAGTGTCCTAATATAGTGTTGGAGTCCCCTACAACAGGTTTAAATGCATCTAAGGTCAGAAAGCATTGTAATTTTCTCAGAATATACATTTAATATTAGAATCATTTTTCAATGATTTCGAAATGATTCGTTCGAAGCAGTTCTGAGCTTAAGGTCTGTAAACCCCTCCCTTCCATAAGCCTACTCTGCTCTGATTGGTCAGCTGGCTGATTGGTCTTTCCGTATACAATGCGTGTCGGGAACGAAACGCCCATTACCATAATAATTTTTTTGCTCAGGAGGGTTACTTGTAAACAAAGATGCTATAAGTTAACAAAAATGACATCGATATTACCTTATCAATTCGAGTCCGAGGATGAGACTGATGCAGTCGCTCAACCGGAAACTCCATCGCAAGCACGACTTGATCAGGACGTTTCTCGGTGGAAAGTTTAAACTTTGTATGTGGTACTTCACGTGACGTGACAGCAGTTTTATTGCATTCATTCTTAGTATTATTTGAGGTGCACGTGTGGGAACTGTGTTAGACCTGATGTAAACACACTAACTAGCGAAAGTGTTTGTTGGCAGGTCAGAGTGTTCATATTTCACGGGCAGGCGGGGATTATGCAAATGTGTTACCTTGTCACATATACAGGTAAAAGGTTCAAAAATATGACGACTCGTTAAAGCGATTCAGAGTCGACTCTTTCTTTTGAGAGACAATATCTTTATTTATCATGCACTTTTTTTGATTAACAACTTTGCAGACTGTTTACATTGAAGGTTAGCTACGTTACAAACTGCAAAAAATATATTTTTCGAAAACCCATATGACCTGCTCTTTAACGTTTCCATTAACGATCCTTTTTGTACATTTAAGAAAGCACCAAATTATTGATCCTAATGACATTATACCATATGCTATTATACTATGTATGCTTACATACATTATTAAATAATAGGAAAATTATAATTATAATACACAAAAGAACATTTATGTTTAATCTATCTAATAGTGTGTTGGTCATACTATACAATGATTTATAGCTTGTCTTTGTTGAATAATACAGAACATAAAGAGCTTTAAAAAATAATTGCATATTAAATCGCAATCGCAATATTGGTAAAAAAAAATCGCAATTAGATTATTTTCCAAAATCGTTCAGCCCTATATTGAAACACAGTTCTTAGTTTATTTCAAGTCTGACAGGCCCAAAAATAATGACTTTCCATTCCCTAAGTGAGTCTGTTGTTAATTCATTAACTACTCCAACTGATTCGGTGAGTGAGTGAGCCATTTATGATCAATGAATTTGAGACTCATTTGACTGATTCTTAAGAAGAGTCTGAAGAAATCACTTAAACATAACGTCTTTTGCCTTGGTGCTGTAGATTCAACAGCACAGTGTTCTGACCGTATCAGTAGAAGAACTCATATAATAACTCTTAAAAGAACCAAATATCATAATCATTTGGCCGTAGTATTTTACAGTCATATTTGTAACTGTTTCTCGATTCCCAACCCTAGCATCCCTTAAATTTGGTTTACTGCACTTAGAACTTAATTTATTGATTCACTGTCCATTCCTGGCTGGGAGTGAATGCGGTCTAACCTGCACAACTTGCTGAAATACTCAAATCTGCATTTATGTGTGTGTGAGTGTGTGCATTCCTGCTCTCTCTCTTGCATTGGTTCCTCTTGTGCATGGTGGCTTATCGAAAACTAGTCCTCACATCGACCTGTGTGAAAAGGTCTGATCGTGGTTAGCTCTTACTGCTTTTACATCGCATAATGTGTGTGTGTGTGTGTTTGCGCACGTGTGCATGTGGCTATGTGTACATGCCGTAGCCTGCATCTATCTTGTGTTTTTCCCCACAGCTAGGCTCTTACCCCAGACTGCGAGAAGAGACCGAGAGGATTGTCACTACTTATGTCAGAGAGAGAGAAGGCAAGACCAAGGACCAGGTGCGAGACTGGCGAGAGAAGATCCGCTTTTACTGTTGTTGTTTTTTTTTTTTTTTTCATGAATTTTCTTAATGTGCAAAATTGATTTATTTACCAGGTCCTTCTGCTGATTGACATTGAGCTGTCATACATCAACACCAACCATGAGGACTTCATTGGATTTGCAAAGTATGTGTAGCATACAGTGCGGCACATTCTGGGTTTCATTTCTCACCTCAAAGCTTGACCCTTAACCTTAGCAGCGCTTTTTGCGTATTTGGACTTTTTACTGTCTGCAGTGCAGTTTATTTTGACTTATTTAGGCAGGAAGTGGCCATGTGGCCAACATGTAAAGCAACCAATCACAGTTAACATTTTCCATGTGAGTTTATCTAAAACCACATTTAATTCTAAGAGCAAAACAGAATATGACAAGTTCTTCAAAAAAAACTGTAGAATCTTTCAAAGGTTCTATGTTTTTCCTTTGTAGTTTTTGCTTAGAAGTGTGCTCATCAGTCTGCGGCACTTTATTTTTTTATTTTTTTTATTTGTATAAATGTTAACTTTAATTAATTATGGTCAGGTTATATATATATATATATGTATATATACAGTATATGTATATATATAAAACATTTTTTTCTTTTTGGTGTCAACATGGTACAGACTCTCCATACATCTGACATCCCCATGCTATTATCTTTTCTGTAATGTTCCTGGGGCATCAACAATATTTATATATATATAGAATTTCTAGATGTTTTCAACCTGTTAAAGAAACTCTGAAAGTCATGTTTGGACTGTGTCTCCTGTTTACTGTCAGTGCAGTGGACTAAAAAGATCAGATAAGGTCCCTATGCCTGTGCATTATGGCTAATTCATTGGACGTAACTTAAATGCACTAAAATTATTAGTGCATGTCTTTGACCTCTCAAACTAGTCTACAACTAAAGTCTGATTGCATGCGAAATGTTTGCATGCTCAGATGGTTACTGTAGAGCATTCAAGAGTTGAGTCAAAGGTCGCCTACAGCATCAAGCCTGTCTGACCCTGCTCGCCCTGCGTGTATCCTCATACGCATGTCGTGAGTTTGTCAGGGCGCCTCTGTTAACGGTTCTCATGCCGTCACTTTCAGTCTTGACTGCAGACGGATGGATGACGGTACCATTCCAGGGTACAGCAACAACAGGTGCGCTAGCGCCCCCTTAATCACCCAGACACATTTAGAAAGATGGTAATCAGACCACCCATCTCTTTTTCTCCCACCACTTCCCTTCTTCCTGCCTAAGAGCAGGATTACTCCCACCCTGAGTGCCAAGGAGGTTTACACAATCATAATTTTACTGTTGTGCTATTATAACAATACAGACAGCAGTATGCAATCGTTGCATGTGTAATCAGTGTTCTCTGTCTGTTTCCTCCAACTGCAGCGCCCAGCAAAGGAATATCGTTAACAAGAAGAGGGCCATTCCCAACCAGGTACACTTTTCTCTGCTTCCACATGCTTTTAAATCCACGTTGACACCCCTTCATTCCAACACCATCATGCCCTCCACCATTCCAATTAAACACGAAAGGGCCTAAAATTGAACCCTGAGAGACCCCTTCCACATCACCCCTTTTGATTTACCAGCTTTGATTAAAAACTGAACAGTATTTTTCATCAAGGTCTCTATCACTTATCAACAAGTTTTTGCCTACACCCCACAAAAAAGTTTTTAAAAATTGTTACATATTGAATCCCCACAGAGTGTTTTGTTTGAGTGAGCATTGTCAAGATTTTGGTAATAAAAAAAACTTTCATGTTTTGTTCTGCAACATAAATGACAACTGTTGTCATGAACAACTCTATTATACATCAGATATGTTCTGAATGGCTGATATTGTGAAGCATCACGCTGTAATTAGTGTTGACAGCTGGAATTCTGTCACTTCACGCCAGGTTAGGACACAGTGTTAGTATTTACAGTATGTGTACCATTTCATTTGAATGAACATTGCTTGGCACTAAAGAGTATTTTTCTAACAAAGTTAGAAAAATAAAAGAGCCTGAAATGGGCTTATCCTGTATGAAGGTTTCAGTGGAAATGACATAAGCAACTTGAAAGTACGCTGTGTTATTAGACAGGGACATTCCCTTTCATTTCCTCCCACTTTTGAGAAACTCTGCTTTCACTAGCATCACAGCAGTACTAGCTGCTAGTAACACTGACGCATGACAAATGAGTAATCAATGCATTGTTTTTTTTTTTTTTGGTTTTTTTCAGTCTTGCCCTAATTTAATGCAAACTTCCTCTTTCTGTTTGAAGTGTAATTCAGAATGTGCGTGGGTCCAGCCGTGACAATGACACAAACTAGTAGATAATTCTGATTTGTGGTACTGTCAGTTAATCTAATTGCATGTAACTTTGTTCTGTTGCTCTCTCTCTCTCTCTCTCTGTGTGTCTGCTTCTAACTTTTTTCTCATTATGACTTTTCTGTGTTCTTTGACTCACTCCATCACACCCTTGCCCCCGTCAAACCTTTTCATTTCCATTTGAAAAATGTGTGTTTCTTAACTGCACTGTCTTCCCTTCCTGGCTTTGCTTGTTTCCTGTGTCTCTGTCTCGTTTCTTCTCCCCAAAACTTGCCCCTACCCCCGTCCCTCCTTATCACTGCAGGGTGAAATACTGGTAAGTACCACAAACCTACAAGCCATGCCCAGTTAAAGGTCACCAGCGCTCATCCAGTCAGGAGAACTGAGGCCGTAACAGGTCAAACAACTCTGTAATTACCAGTGTGGGTGGGATGTCTGTGTGTAAACTTGCCGACGAGAGTTATAAAGCTGATGGTTTTTCTTTCACTCTGCAGCTAGGTGGCCTGAGAGAAAGCGAAGCCGAGAAGGTATAGTCTGGTGGAAAAACCAAAATGGAATAACATTTTTTAATTATGGCTAGTTTTTCAATTACAGTTACGACTAATCAGTAACTGACGTCAATTCCACCATAAAATGCCCACTGTAATTAGTGGCATCACCTAACATTCGGTAATTTTAGTAATTAAACCGAGAGAACATTACTAACCATTCCTTTGAGAAAATGTCACAGTGCACCCTTAATTTCATATATCAGTGTATTTTTATGCATGAAAGAACCTTTTTTTTTTTTATGAGAAAATGGAGTGAAATGGAGGCCTCGGTTATCCTGTTGCTGGATGTGAGTCCTGGTGGCCCAGGCTGGGTGAGCAGAGTTTGCCTTGTGGAGAATCAGCCTCTACGTCACCATGGGGATATGGTGGGTGGGCGGGGCCAAGAAAACATCCAATTCATACTAAAGAGCCAAAATCAAACCCAAGATAACATGTGGTGTGTGATTGGGATTTCTTTACATGTATGTGGTGTGCATTTTTAATGAATTGATGTATTTTTTTTAGATTTTTGAATGCATTTGCCATGAAGAGCTAATCACAATTATTTTCCACTGAAATATGATTTTCTTTATACTAACAACATGTCTGAGGTAGGACTGGGATATATGGCTTACAAATTCTCAATATGTTTGAACCTTTTAACTATATTTAATGTCATTGCATCCAAACAGCCATTTTTGTCAAGTAGTTCAAAAGTAAAGCAATAAATATCTAATTAATGTAATCAAGACATGTTTTCTGTTTTTCACTAAATGAAGAGTAGCTATGTAACAATTCAGAGTCATAAATAAACATTTACCTTTAGATTTGTTTATTAACTTTTAATAATTGTAAAGTGCCACAGAGGGCATGAGGATTTTTAAGGTGATGAATCATTGAATTGTATTTTGAAACTATTAAATGAATTGAATTAAATTGAATCTTAATCACAAAATCACAAACTTAATGGCCAAGTACAGTAAAAGGGTCTTAAAGTCATCACAATAATAACTGTTGCTTAATTTTATATCTGTACCGAACTTATTGTGGATAAACAAAATATTGTCCAGCCCTACCATAACAGTGAGTTGGTATTTAGTTGTTGATTTTTTTCTTTTTCTTTGGTGTGCCAGTAATGGCCAGAATGTGGCAGTGTCGGGTTCCTTTTGCTAATCAATTGGCTCTAATTTACTAAATTAACTGCTCAACCTTAGAGAAATCCTTTCTGGGGCAAAGCTAATTGGGAGATTTCTATTGGGGTAATTAACAGTCGCCTCTCACAGGTAATCATCTAATCATCTCATCTTTAATTCAAAATTCAAAATCATCCCTTCTGTCAACAGATTTCTGTTTAATGAAATTTCTGATCATATTTTGCCAACTCTTTGATTAACTTGTTAATAATTATGCATTTTAAATGTACATAATATTAGGATTAATTTGTTTAATTTAGAGAGACAGCAGTCAGAATGTGCAACGTGGAAGAACGGTGAAATCCAAACACAATGGAAAATAGGGTCATGCTCTCATTTCTTTCAGTTGTGGGCGGCAAAAGGGTAATTGGATCCATGTTAGAGAATACAGAGCCCAAGCCAGGCTCTGACCACAGATATTTGCTGGGTTTCTGTCTAATGAAAAGATATTCAAGAGCATTTTTGTGGTCGTTTGTTCGGGTCGCTACAGTACATCCTAGCACGAGATGCCTGAGCCGTATTGTCCTGGTGTTTTTCTCTGCTCATCAGTCTCTTCTGTCTTTTTTCCCCTCTCAGAGATGGTTATCAGGTTTCTAGATTTAAGAAGGTTGATGGTATTTCCCCACCAAGGCAAACAATCTATATAGCCTGTTATAGCTTTATGTCTGCGTTGTTTCTGTTGGCACTGTCTAACTCTAACTCTAACCCCCTCCTCTCAGTTTCACTCCGTTTTTACGGAGAACAAAGCAAAATGGAAAGGGAGAAAAGGGATGGCACCGTAGAAATGCTTGCAGTACATTTTGTTGTGATATTTCTTTCTTTAATGGAAAACGTTCAGTGTCATTGATGCTGTGGGGTATTTCGATGTAAGATGTAGTACCAGAACGGAGCTGGAATGTGCATTAAAGGGATAGTTCACCCAAAAATGAAAATTAGCCCATTATTTACTCACCCTCAAGCCATCTTAGGTGTATATGACTTCCTTCTTTCAGATGAATCCAATCGGAGTTATATTAAAAATTGACTTTGATCTTCCAAGCTGTTTAATGGCAGTCAGCGGGTGTTGCAGTTGTTTTGATCTCTCCCCTGCGCTTCCGCGTTCATCACTTCTGAGTGGCGCATGCGCAACGCCGAAGTCCTACGTCATCCGCCCAGAGCTGCTTCCATGTACAACAGTGAGCGCAAGCTAGATTAAATTATTACGTTTTAAATATGGTTATTTTTCTAACAAAAATGCATCGATTCGCTACAAGAGACCTTTGTTCACCCCCGTAGCCGGTTGAGGCACTTTTTATTATTGATGGATGTGTTTTATTTCACTTCTTTTGGACTGATGAACTGCAACACCCGCTGACTGCCATTAAACAGCTTGGAAGATCAAAGTCAATTTTTAATATAACTCCGATTGGATTCATCTGAAAGAAGGAAGTCATATACACCTAGGATGGCTTGAGGGTGAGTAAATAATGGGCTAATTTTCATTTTTGGGTGAACTAACCCTTTAATAATGGAAATAAGATTAATTTTGATTCTGTTGACTTTACGAAACAGTGTTCCACAATCCTTAAGTTAACCTCAAAAATAACACTGAAATTTCTTTACCACTGAAATCTGAAAGCCCTTTCCCTCCCGTTTCCTTGACTAACCCTTTCTTCTCCAGGTCCTGTACCTTCTCTTAGCAAACAGCCTCTGGTTACGACCCGCTTACCTGTGTCTTCTTTCACTATTCCTTCCCGTTCAATAGGTTTTCACACTTTAGTGTACGTCTTTCTCCATTTAACACCAGTAACAGCATTCTCCTTCATTTACCAGCATGTAGGCTTGTTTTTACTCACTAATTTGACTGTAACATACCACTGCCGACCTCTGACCCCTGTTCTCTGGCATCCAGTGGGTCTGGATGGCATCTGATGTCACGTTTCCCTGTGCTTTAGAACGAAAAAAAAATCCACAAGCACAACAAAATTGTTCCTTTATTCTTTTATTGTTGCTCTATTTCAAGACTTCAAGACACTCCCCAGTGGTTTTGTTAGTGTATATTCAGAGTTTCTAGAGCGTTTATTTGTAACTAAGCTTTAATTGCTGCCTTATGTTCCGACTCCATGCAGAGTAACGCTAGATACTGTAGTCTAGTGGTTCCCAACTGGTGAATCGCAACCTAACGCTAAATGCGAATAGTAAAGTGCAAATAGGCATATAATTGTGTATATCAGGTAAAAAAAAAAGAAAACACTTTGAATCAAAAATCAGGGCGTTTTCGCTAATACTGATACAACATGTTTTATGCGTTTAAGTTGGTAAATTGCACTTCTGCTGTTGTTCATGCAGTTACAGTCATCACTTTTCCTGTTTAGCTATGAATATTTATTTGTATGTTAATATTTTTGCATATTGATGGGCCCACATTTTCCATACTCCTGCAAATTTTCACATACGAAATGCAGTCTGCAAATTTTCACATACGAAATGCAGTCATTTCCATTGGAATCCACGCGTGAGGGCGGAAGATTTCCACACGCAGATTTCACAACGTGTTAAACACAGTCGCACAGATTCGCTATATTGACAAACATAATGCTACTTGTTTTAAAAAAGTGATTTCTGTGTTATGCATTGCTAATATTAACAATTAAATTTAATAATTTATCTTTTTTGCATGAAAAAAATTTAACAAAACGACGGACCCGCAATTTTTACCCGCAAAATGTCAACAAAAAATTTGAAACAATGGATCTTTTTTTGCCTGAAAAAATTTCGAAACCAGTTGAGAACCACTGCTGTAATGTACAAAGCAGAGTTATTTAGTTAATGACATTAGCCACCATAGAAGGCAACCAAACTTTGGCAGAGTTACACAAAATATTTCCACAACAGGTAAGCACCAAAGGTTTGCACAATAGGGTTTTCAGGTTTGTTCAGCATAGGACACAAGCTTCCAGCACAAAGACTGTTGAATGTACATGTGTGGATCTCATAAATGTTTCCCCACTCTTGTGGCATGCCCTACACCCTCCACCCCCTCCATCCTCTGTCCCACAGGTGATCCGTAAAGGCTGGCTAACCCTCAACATCAGCATTATGAAGGGCGGCTCCAAGGAGTACTGGTTCGTCCTGACGGCCGAATCGCTGTCCTGGTACAAGGACGAGGAGGTGAGATCTGTTCTTCATTTCTCATTTGCAGTCCCTCCCCCAATCGCTTCATCTTAAAACCAGCTCCACTCAAGTTGGGCTCAAACTCCATGTGTGTTTGAAATTAGTGCAAACGTTAGCTGTTTTCCAGAGTTCCTGTGGCTTGACTGGTAGAATGCGGTGCTAGTAACATCAAGGCCTTGGGTTTCATTCCCAGGGAGCACATAAATTTATGAATGTGTACTTTAATGCATTTGGCATAAGCTCCAAAGCAACTTCAATGTAAACGTCTCAATTTATTCCCCAAGAGAGATTGTTTATATGTAAAATTCCCCCGTTCTGCAGCGAATGGTAGAGTCCATTTGCTCGAGCCACGGGTGTGTGTGTCCCTGCCCAGCCTAACCAATGTGCGGACTACTGTTCAGCTGCAGCATGATGAACAGGTAGTCTGAACACTGGGCAGGCGGGGGGGAGGAAAGAGGGCGGCTGGACCGCAGGTCACTGCCCCGAGGACCGCACATGACTGCAGAGGAGAGTAAACAGTTCAGACAGACACTGATAAAGCGTCGATCTTATGTTCATCTCACTACTTATTTAAAATAGAGTAATAAGAAATATTTCCAAAGTAAATGAAGGTTGTTATATAACCATTAAGATGTTTGGATTGTAACTTCGTTTCAGCAGCAAGTTAAGTTATCAGAATCCCCATAAATCTGATTCTCAATACTGTAAGACTGTCAAAAATATTGATATTTCAGTTGTAAAGTATGATTTACGTAATTTATAACAGTAAAATAAGATTGTATTAAAATAACAAGTCTAATGAAAATCATTGTGAATAAATTGGGAATGATAAAATTACAAAAACAAAAATACAAAAAAAGTGGAAAAGTAAAATATTCTGACATACAACGTTAATGATAATTTAAGGGGGGAAAAGCTTAATTCTCATGAAAATAATGCTACAGTTAAATAGGTTTCATTTTCTTAATGTAAAAATATAACCTCTTTTGATTTTGGAGTGAAATGTGCTGGTTTTGTTTAGATTTTTACCTATAAAAAGCTTTTTGGACCAAGTAATGAAGGCACACGAAGAATCAAGTAATTAAAGCTGGTCCGCATATGCACAAAAAAAATTATATTAAATATATTATGAATCTAAACATAATGAAATCGGTTGAAACAACATCACTGAATATCCCAACATTACTTCTTGATAATGTTTACATTAGGAATTCATTTCAAACGTATATATTTGGTTTACTCACATGTCTGCTGCTGCGTGGCAAATGCATATTCCAGGCCTCTGTAGTTTCTTCGAGAGGAATACAGAGCGTTTTGCCATCATGGCTCCATTTTCGCATTCTGAACCATGTGCGGTTTTCGCTCTGTACCATTGTTTTATGAATAACACTGAGAAATGTGCCTTTAGCAGTGGTTTTCGAAGTAAAGAGAAAGCGATAAATGGAGAAATGAGAGGACGAAAGTAAAAAAGGGACGAAAGGGGAGGCAAAGTGACGTGGCAAGCGCACTGAAATGTTCCAGCCGGGATCCGACTTTGGAATTTGCAGGAAATCGTACTGGGTTACTGGGGGGTTGTTGTGTGTGTATATGAATGTGTGCGTGTGTGTGTGTGTGTGTTGGGGGCAGGGAAGTGTTCTTCTGAGTGATGTAACTGTTGTGGCCGTAGCTGTGCAGACATAAACATTTCCAGATGCTGCTTCTCAACTCAACAGAACGAGTTGGCAGCATTAGTCCTCATCCAGACTCCTCCTCTTCTTTTTCTTTTCGGTCTCTGTCTCACATCCCCCTCTCTGGCTTGGCAACCTGGTGGTCCTTCTTTAAAGTGACAGTTCACTTCGAAATGAAAATGCGGTCATGTCATTCCAAACCCATATGATCACTAAAGAAGATGTTTTCAAAAATCTTCATGTGGCACTTTTCTATACATCCATTGTTATATATTGTATTCAGAACTCTGCAGCTTTTGATACCACTGTGAAGTGGTTTATAAAATTGTTGTAACTCTTCCTCTCTCATCTCGCTCTACTAGGAAAAAGAGAAGAAATACATGCTTCCTCTGGACAACCTGAAGCTCAGAGACGTGGAGAAAGGCTTCATGTCTACCAAGCACATTTTTGCAATCTTCAACACGGAGCAAAGGTCAGGGCTGACTGCAACTCTCTATGTTTGTGTATTTGAGTTTGGTGTTCGGCCACTTCATGAATTCGATCCCCCTCCCAGGAACGTGTATAAGGACTTGCGTCAGATCGAGCTGGCCTGTGATTCGCAGGAGGACATGGACAGCTGGAAAGCCTCTTTTCTCCGAGCAGGCGTTTATCCTGAGAAAGATCAGGTACTAACGTTCAGTTTGAACACATGGACAATCTAAAGCACTCCATATTCCATTTTTGAGAGTTTAAAGTCTACACGTTTAACTTTCATGATGTGATGTATACAAATAAAACTGAACATTCAATGGGAAATAATGAAGGGTAGGACTTTTGGTATCAGGATTTATTTGTCACTTACACTTACACAGTCTCTTTTGCTCACCAAGGCTGCGTTTATTGCAAAAATACAGTAAAAATATTGTGAAAAATTGTGAAATAATAAAATTATTTTCTAATAATCTATTCCTATTCAGCATCATTACTCCAGTCTTCAGTGTCACATGATCCTTCAGAAATCATTCTAATATGCTGATTTGGTGCTCAAGAAACATTTCTTATTATTATCAATGCTGAAAACAGTTGTGCTGCTTAATATTTTGTGGAAATCATGATACATTTTTTTTCAGGATACTTTAATGAATAGAAAGTTCAAAAGAGCAGTATTTATTTGAAATACATATATCTTTTAGCATTGTAAATGTCTTTCCTGTCACTTTTGATCAATTGAATGCATACTTGCTGAATAAAAGTATGACTTTCTTTCAAAAACAACATTACTGATGCCAAACTTTTGAACGGTAATGTATGTTATGAAATTAATAGTAGTAGTAGTAGTAGTAGTAGTAGTAGTAGTAGTGGTGCATCTAAGGCAAACATTAATATTATTATTATTATATATACTTGGGGTTAGGGAGTTGAAAAAAATAGGCACATATTAGCACATGCATTACTGTTATTGACATGGTACCTGAAAATCTGCACTTTGTTAAAGACAGGTATGTTTTTATATTATTACTGTGTTATTACTATGTTATTACTAAGCAATTTACGTAAGCAGCAAGCCAGAAACACTCACACTGCAACATGTTAAAAACACTCAAAATGCAGTAGCAGCTGTATAGCAGATGATCTCTTAAATCATCTTAGCAACAACTTTTACACAGCTTTTACATGGGCAAACATCACTCACGTTGTCTAGTATCTAGTAAATAGTTAAAATGTTTTTCCCACCTACGCAGTCTTGGTTTGGTCAGCAGAACTTGTTTTAGAGGTAAAGAAAGGTTTTACATTTTGATGAAAAATAAAAAATTTTTTTTTTTTTTTTCCCTAAGAATAGTGTTCACTCATCCACTCTGCATTAAAGATACAGGTCACTTTAGATGTTGTCATTAAAATTCATGAAAAGTCCTAAACTTAGATCAAAGGCAACAGATTAAATGAGAAGTGATTTTAAAGAAACTGGGATGTGTATGTTGTGTAGGTGGAGTCAGAAGAGGCCACTCCAGTCGACAGCTTCTCCATGGACCCTCAGCTGGAGAGGCAGGTGGAGACCATTCGTAACCTGGTGGACTCCTACACTGGTATCGTCAACAAGACCATCAGAGACCTCATGCCCAAGACTATCATGCATCTCATGATCAACAACGTAAGTGCACAACCACTTGTGTTTTAAGCAGTTCATCTTGAAACATTCATTGTACATAGCTTATTGTAAACATCCTCACCTCTTCATTAACCTTTCCTTCCTTTTCTGTTGTCTTGCTGTCCCCAGGCGAAAGACTTCATCCACTCCGAGCTGTTGGCATACCTGTACTCCTCAGGAGATCAGAACAGTCTGATGGAGGAGTCTGCTGACCAGGCCCAGCGCAGAGACGAGATGCTACGTATGTACCACGCCATAAAAGAGGCCCTCAGCATCATCGGTGACATCAGCACCAGCACTGTGTCCACTCCTGCGCCTCCGCCCGTCAACGACAGCTGGATTCCAGAGAATAGGTTAGAAAATGAACAGCATGCTGCTGTCTGGAAAGGAATTGCATTCCCATTACTGTGGCTTTCTATGTTTAGAATGAAATATGAACACGGGCCTCTCTGGTCGGTGTTTGTGGAAACAAGGTCCTTAAGGTGAATATTGAGGTTTGCTGTCACTTTGCTGCAGTAGTTCTGTGTTTTTCGGACACAATCCTTCTTAGTGTTCGACGGTCCCTATCATTCTATTCTTCTTTGCTGATGAAGTCTAATCATGCTTTGTGAACATGCTCATAATCGTAAAGACTGTTGTTGTTAAAACATTAAACAGTTGGGTTATAGACATTCCTGCTAAACAGGCTTTCAATGATTTGTCCTTTTTTGGAGGTCTGACAAGTCACCCATTTGACCCATAGTACACTGAGATGCAACCTAGAGAGTATAGACAATAAAAAGATTATAATCGCAAAGTTTTTTTTTTTTCCCCTGTAGCCTACACAAATTATATTAACCCTTATAATAATGGGTGTTCACATTATTTTGTCCAGCCCCTGTATTTCTTGGTGTTTCCTGGTGTATTTCCTGTATTCCCCAAGTGTTCAATTGAGTGTGAAGACCACAAGTGTGTGTAGAACTTTTAATTATCTGATGGCACACACTACATCATAGTGTTGTAAAACTGCTCATTTAACAGAGCTTTGTATACACATTTTTTCTGTGTACAATCTAATTAATTTAGCTTACACTGGAAAGTTGTTCTTGACGTCTCACGATATTGAGTCACATGGGTTCCTGTATATGATGGATGATGGGGTACGCTTGGCTTCAAATACCGCTCCAATGCGCTATTAGACGTAATGTGGATCTAATGTGCAACAAGTGCACTGAGCTTTGGCATTCATTAGACCTGGGACAGTATTGTTCACTTATTTCCTGTTGCACACGCGCTCTCAAGTGGCCAAGACCCCAAATGTAGAACAGGCCTTAACCCTTTAAAGGCCCCAGTATAATTAAAGTGAAATTAAAGAACAAACTGTTGTAATTTTGTAACTAACTAACTAGCGTCGCACTGTGCTGCAAAAGCTGGATTTGTCATGTCATGCCGCGCTGCATCCAGCGTATACAGCATCACCTGATTATAATGGGTTCTATTGTCTTTTATTGTGTAATTTCGCACCATGCCACTCGCGTAGATGGTGTAGACAAGGTGTAAGCGGAGAATTTCACCATGAGCATATTGGGCCTTAAGAGTAGTGTACTTCATAACTGTTTTAATACTATATTTCTTCTTTTCCTGTCCTCTGTAGCACCACCCCCCAGCACAGACCACCTACATCGGCCCCGGCCCCCAGCAGGCCTCCAGCAGTAAGAGGTCCAACACCAGGCCCACCCCCTCTTAACCCCACCCCCTCCTTTGCAGCTCCACCCATTCCGTCTCGCCCAGGCCAGCCCATTAATGCCTTGAGCAACAGCAACCTGGATCCTTTCAGTGCGCCTCCACAGATCCCCTCCCGCCCTGCCCGCATCCCTCCGGGTATCCCCAGGTAAGACACTTAACCATCTGTCACCTCCATGAAGATATGTAGACTCGCTGTGCCTGTGAGAACGAGCATCTTGTGTCTGAAGCTCAGAGGAGTGAACGTTTTTGAAAAAAAAAACAAAACATTTGAACAAGGTTTGACTGATGTACTGTCTCTTCAGCTCTTATTCTTCTCTCACTAGCAGCTGCATGCAGATATTTTCTCCTGTCACATACTACTACTAATATTATTAATAAAAACAAGTTATACCTCATTTCCTTCTCAGCATATTTTCTAATCTTTCCAGTGATATTATTTTCCTGTTTTGATCTCCTCTCATCTCTTCCTTTCTTCTTTTTCTCTCTACTCATCTAGCGTCATCTTTTCATCTCTTCATATCTGTTCTCATGTAGACTTGTCTCTCCTCATCACTTCTATTCTCGTCTCTTTTCTATTCTAATCTTATCTCTTTTTTTTCTTATCTCTTATTGTGCTTTCTCACTTTGTCTCATCTGGTATTTTCTTATCTCATCCGTTCTGCACTCATCTCTTTCAGTCCTTTCTGCCTTGTCTCTTTTAATGTCATCTTGTTTATTTTCTTCTTGCCTCTTCATCTCTTTTCTCATTTAGTCTCATCTAGCTTTTTTTGTCTTGTCTCTTCCTGTCCATTCTTATCTTGTTTCTTCAAATTTACTCTCTTTTCTAGCCTTCTCTTCTGCTTTCGTGTGGCCTCATCTAGCCACTTCTCGTCTCACAGTCTCACCTAACTTCTCGTCTCATCGCATCTCACCTTGTCGCTTATCTCTTTTCATCTCTTCTCGTCTTGTTTCTTCAAATTTCTTCTCATATAACCTCCTGTTCTTGTTTATTCTCATTTACTCTCATCTAGCCTCTTCTCGTCCGCTCCTCATCTCCTTTTTATCTCTCATCTCTCATGTAGTCTCATCTCTTCTCATCTTATCTTGTCTCTTTTCATTTCTTCTAGTCTCATCTAGTCACCTCTTGTCTCATCTTTTCTCTTTGATCTCTTCTTTTCTCCTCTCATCTATCTAGTCACGTCTTCTTGCCTAATCACTTCTCCTTTATTGTCTTTTCTCATCTCACCTAGTCTCATCTCATCTCAGGTAGTCTCATCTAGTCTCGTCTCTCCTCATCTTGTCTCTTTTCATCTCTTCTAGTCTCATCTAGTCAACTCTTCTTGCCTCATCTCTTCTCCTCGTGTCTTTTCTTATTTCTTCTCATCTAGTCTCATCTCTTATGTGGTCGTACCTAGTCTTGTCTCCTCATCTTTTGTCTCATCTCATCTAGTCTCATTAAGTATTGTCTCTCCTTGTCTTTTGTCTCTTCTCATCCTGTCTCATCTCATCTGGGGTCAGTTGCATAAACATAGCCGCTATGTTAAGTGTCTTGAGTACTAGTTTGACCAACTAGCAGTTAGCAAAAGGGGTAATCTGTCTTACTTTTCGGATTAAAATTAGACCAGTCTGCCTTTTTGCAACTGACTTTAAAAAGTTATGACCAGTGTTGAGGAAAAAAAAAATAGATGGCTATTTTTTTAAGACTAGGCTAAGCTGTTAATGCAACCAGCCACTGGTCTCATTAAGTCTTGTCTCTGCTCATCTTTGGTCTCTTGTCATCTTGTCTCATCAATTCTTGTCTCTCCTCATCTTGTCTCTTTTCATCTCTTCTAGTCTCATCTAGTCAACTCTTCTTGCCTCATCACTTCTCCTTTTGTCTTATCTCATCTAGTCGCATGTCCTCTAATCTAGTCTCGTCTCTGCTCAGGTCTTGTCTTTTCTCATGTCTTCGCATCTAGTCTCGTCTCTTACATGGTCTTATCTAGTCTTGTCTCCTCATCTTTTGTCTCTTTTCACCTCATCTCATCTAGTCTCATTACATTTTGTCCCTCCTCATCTTTTGTCTCTTGTCATCTTGTCTCATCTCCTCTTAGGTTGTCTCAATTGTCTTTTCTCATCTCAGGTAGTCTCATCTAGTCTTGTCTCTCCTCATTTAGTCTCTTCTCATCTCTTCTAGTCTCATCTCTTCTCCTCGTGTCTTTTCTTATTTCTTCTCATCTAGTCTCATCTCTTATGTGGTCGTATCTAGTCTTGTCTCCTCATCTTTTGTCTCATCTCATCTCATCTAGTCTCATTAAGTATTGTCTCTCCTCGTCTTTTGCCTCTTCTCATCTGGGGTCCTCTTTTCATCTCTTCTAGTCTCATCTAGTCAACTCTTCTTGCCTCATCACTTGTCCTTTTGTCTTATCTCATCTAGTCGCATGTCCTCTAATCTAGTCTCGTCTCTGCTCAGGTCTTGTCTTTTCTCATGTCTTCGCATCTAGTCTCGTCTCTTACATGGTCTTATCTAGTCTTGTCTCCTCATCTTTTGTCTCTTTTCACCTCATCTAGTCAACTCTTCTAGCCTCATCTCCTCATCTTTTGTCTCATCTCATCTCATCTAGTCTCATGTAGTCTCATCTAGTCTCGTCTCTGCTCAGCTCTTGTCTTTTCTCGTCTCTTACGTGGTCTTATCTAGTCTTGTCTCTGCTCATATTTTGTCTCTTGTCATCTCGTCTCATCAATTCTTGTCTCTCCTCATCTCATCTCTTTTCATCTCTTCTAGTCTCATCTAGTCATCTCTCCTTTTGTCTTTTCTCGTCTCATCTAGTCACATCTCTCATGTAGTCTCACCTCTTCTTTTCTCTTCTTATCTCATCTCATCTAGTCTCATTCCCTCCTCATCTTGTATCTTTTCAAGTCTTCTAGTCTCATCTCTTCTCTTTTTCGTCTTTTCTTTTCTCATCTCATCACATCTTGTCTACTCCCTTCTCCCTTCTCCTCCATCTTTTCCCTGTGGTTGTGGGTATGTCTCACCTCTGTTTCTCACTCTTTTCTCCTCCTGCAGCAGAAGACCCCCTGGCGCTCCCAACCGGCCCACCATTATCCGCCCCGCCGAGCCCTCCCTTCTAGACTAGACCCATGCGCTGGCCACCATAGGCTGACAGAAAGAAAGAAAGAGAGAGAGTGAAAGGAAGGGCTGGAGAACTGCACTGAAACATGTGCACGTGTGTCTACACATACAGCCTGACCAATAAACCTAAATAATCCACTCAAACTGTCCTCTGATCAGCGCTGCTAATCACATCCTTACTTTTAAAGCCCAGAGGTCTAAATTAAGCACATAAATATTCAAATAAAATTATTGTTGCTATTATTTTGTTAAACTATAGAGTGAACTAAAGGGTGTAGTGGCCTCCAACTTTCAGTCATTTCATCACTCACATAGGTCAGGTGACCACCAGGGGGTATCCTACTCAACTTGTGTAGACAAACCAACATTAGACTCATGATGCCTCCTCTCTGACTAGTGGTTTAATGTGGGATAAGATGTGTACTGTTCTTGGGTAACTTAAGGGTGGTTGAAGATTCTTTCTTGTTTTAGACACACTTCATGTGTTGTTTGTTTTCATTCTGTGTTTTCTTGACTCTCTAACTTGATATGCTGAAATAAGACACCATGACTGCTGTTATTATTGCTATGTGGGATTGATTTTGATCTGATTTCTTTGTTTTTCATGTTCAATTGGCCGTTTGTTATGTTTGATGCCCTTCAAAACGGCACTTAGTACCAAGAGACTGTTAATTATGACTCCGTAGCAGCTAACCAATCAGAAATGCAAACATACAAGTTCATAATTCAAAAACCTAGATGTTGATGCTCATGTTTGGTGTTAACAGGCAACATCCTCTTTCTGTTTGGTCGGGAAATTTGGTTCTTGAAAAGCACTTCCGGTTTTCTAGTGATGGGAATTTCTTAGGTAGTCAGAGAAGGAGGAGGTGCAATTTGTATGCAAATCTCTGTAATGATCTGTTGATATAAATAATATTTTGTGTATATGAATATAATCCTGGAAAGCATGGTAACCACTCGTAACGGGCCGACCCGTCAGAGCTCAGGTAACATCCGACTCCAAATCTGGTAACAGTTTACGCTAGCTTAGCGTTCTGATTGTTGTAACTTAAATTAATTGGCAAGACCTTATGGGGCGCTTTTATTTTCGCATTCAGGGATGGTGAGGGTCAGGGGAGCGTTTATGAGCGGGAAGAACAACAGGAAGTGGGAATGCACTCAAACACAAGGTCACTGAACATGGTACATGCAGGTGTACTTGGCGTTATGGGGCGTTTGCTTTATGGAACCAGTCCGTTCTCGCCTACAAAGACACAGGGAACTTTCTGAACGCAAAAAAACGGTGAACCTTTAATGTAGATATCATAGTAAATGTACTAAGGCGTATTTCTGAGTGTATTATTTATAACCTGGGCATTTGTCTTTGTGTTTGCATTTTTCACAAACTGTTTGCTTCAGAGTAGAACGACAGATATTCTTCGCTATTGACAGATTTATGCCCCGTCAGTTGCGTAAACAATGGTTGAACAGAATTCAGAGTGAAAGCGGTCCAGCTGGTTTCCTGTTGATCCTGTTTTGATCTTTGCCGTTTGCTTTTATTGATGTGCGTGCAAGGAAATGAGCCATGACAAATGTTGTTTTCTTGATTAACTTCAGGATAAGAATAGGGATTTTGGTGTAAGCGGGAGCGGGTCTTTGATTTTAGCGCCAATTTGTCTGTAAATAATCGAAGGCTTGGAGTCGGACTTGAGATTAAACTTAAAAATTAGCTGCAGAAATCAGGGCCGAACGCTCTTAAATTACTCCTGTGTGTTATGGCTACAGTGATGGCAACCGCTGCTCCTTCTTCAGTCAGTTCAAGGCTTGAATTAAAATTATATCCAGCTGTTTCCTTTCCAATTTTAAATTATTTCAACATCTGTTAAGAACTGGATAAAGCCCAGATCACTGCAGCCATAACTTTTCCTCTGGTCTTTTCTCATGGTGACCCGATCCCCATCTCTCCCTCTAATAACTGTGTCCTGTTGTATGGAGTGAGGGACTGAGGACATATTTAGCATTCTTTTTTATGCTTTTGGAATAACAAATAATTGTCAAGTGCCTGTGTAGCAATTAAAATGGACTTGGAGCAAAATGCACAATGAGAATTGAAAGTGAGATGATAATAAAAGGTGTTGTGTATAATAAAGATCTGGCACTCTGGTGGTCGGTGTTTCCTTGTGTCACGTCTCCTCGCTTTCTCCTTGATTTACCATGACATGTCTCTCCCAGCATGCATCTCTTCCTCTTGGTGTTCTCATGGAAATAAATCAAATGTAGGGTGTCTCACTTATCTGTGACTGCATCCGAAACCACATGCCCTTCTTTTGAAGGAGTACTTACTTTGTAGCTGTTAAAAAAAAGTATTTTCGATACATTATGAAGTATGAATGTGCAACATAATCTCATAGCAATTTGTAACTATTTTACATTTTGGCGACTTCGTGGCTAATTTGTTTGAATTCATACGATTTTATTTGTATGTTTTCGTATGATCTACTTAGGCCCCTTTGATGGTTATGTTAAGGAGTGGACCTTCATGCTTACTTTTTTCCCCAAAAACTATGTTTTTGTTCAATACAAATTCATACGAAATGACCACCTTGTAAAAAAAAAAGTTGCATTTTCCTGTGAGATCAGGTGGATTCTGTAGTATAAATGAAATCCAGATGTACTACATTTGTTATGTTTGTCACATGTCCATCAGATGTGCACTTCAGAAATTCACCGGAAGTAGTAGGTAATCTGGGTTTTTTTCATGAATGCTATGAATTTGGACATACTTTTCTTTTCACATACTGTTTTAGCCTACTATATAGTAGAAAAGAGTTAACTACAAACAAAAATGCATACTATGCATTTACCATATGTACTATCAACATTATTTTTAACATAAGAGCGGGTGCATCCATTTGTGAGGCTTCCGGGCGCTTCCAGTTATTATATATTCCAAACTGGTATTTCTTCTACTGATTCAAATTGATTTACATATTACAAAAAAAAAATGATTTTCTACATGTTAGATAATGCAATAATGTCAGCAAAAAAGTGGAAGCACCTGGGCAATTTAGAGAGTCACAAGAACTTTGGTACCAAGTCAAATTTTAAAAATATAAGAATACTAGTTTTCCGGAAGTACCAGGTAAATTTGGTATCCATTGATATATATGCACACTCCTGCATTAAGTCAGTTGGGCGACCACTCAATACTGCTCATTGTTCATCTCAAATGTGTTTTTGAAGAGTTGAAGATAGTAATCAATGTTTCGAACGTGAATGCAATGGCCAATCATAGGTATTTAAAAGTTAGCGCATCCACTCAAAACTAGTTTTTCGCTACGTTCACGTCATGTGTAATTAAATTTCGAGATGATAACACATTCTACTCGGAATCTTGCGTTTCTGTGGCAAGTTGGCAACACTATCAACGTCAAAGCATTCGCGTGCTCGAAGAACTCGAAATTACAACTTCTAAATTGGGATCTTTCTGAAAGCTTGGACCATGTGAACGATGTCGCTGTACAGATTCATAGGCCCTACTGACGCGAGTACCTCGGAACATCTCCGAACTTCTCGAGTTGTTTTTGAAACAAGTGTGAACGCATTGGCCAGTCAAAGGTTTTTAAGTTATTCAGTGATACATCCACGCAGTACCATTCAAAATTTGTTCGTGTTCATCGTAAACTTTGAATTGATGTTTTGAATAGAGCCGTTACCCCAAGAATTGAATCGTGAGGTTTCAAACGATTCCCACACCTGGGAAAGTCCATACTTTTGAGATATTTCCTCATACAATTGCATCTTAATAAATATGTATAGAAGTGTTAGCAAGAAGCTAAACAAATAGTTAATCCATTAGTTGCTGTTTCTAGGCTGGTACAATTAAACACTTAGAAGTTTAGTCTCACTACCCTCACCTTTCAACTGAAAATGTTGGATCCTCCACAGACATTGTCATAGCGCAGGGAGTTGAGCTGAAAATCGTGCACTGATGCATACTTAAACATCCACCAGAAAGTAATTATTTTTAGCATGCACTAATTAATAAATCATGGATACTGTTTCAAATAAATGTGATGTCAATCGGGCTGGAGCCAGGAGCATGTAATGAGATGAGTCACATTTGCAGAGTTGAGGGTCTCAACAGGATATATAGAACCATTGCTTCTTCCTCTGCGAAGATGACCTTTTGCATATGACTCATGAGCAAGTTTCCTTAGTGGAAGTAAGAAAAGAAAAGAAGAAGTCCTACCTTATCATGGAAGACCACGTCTGAATAATGTCCAGTGTTGTTTTATTATCAGCATGTGACTTGATGAGTAACACAGCTCTTATTTATCAGCTTTTCTTTCAGAATCATCTGTTTCTATGTAACAACTAGCAGTTTCACAAATTTTGAGATATGAATCTACCCCCAACCCTCCCTCCACATTCACAGCATATACGGTCATAATGAAAACCTCGGTATAGCTTATCGGAGCCTGCTGAGTTACTGTAAACATACATGTTTCACCCTGTACAGCATGCAAATGTAATTCTCACTGCTGATCTGTGCTTTTGGTTGCGGTTGTTGAACAGACGTCCACCTCCCCGACGGCCAGAGAACCAATGGTGAAGCTGATCCGGTGCTCTGGATGAGGATCACCATATGGCTGCTCTACTGCACCATGAGGACGTGACGCCTGTTTCTAACGGATATAAATAGAATATCGAAGGAAGAATAAATTGGATTGGACAAAAAGCCAATTTAAATTTTACTATGCGATTTAAAAATTTGACCAAAGATGAGATTCTTCCAGGTATTACACAGTCTTGTTTGAACTTTTCTCTCATCTTGACCCTTCTCTCATCTCATCTTGGTTCTAGAAGTAGTTTTTCCCATTCAGTTTCTCCATAGATTAAATAGATAAAAATGGAGTTCTAAGTTGAACCAAATCAAACCAGCTCAGAATTGCAACATTATAAACTTTGATTTTAAACAAAACCAGGTATGAAGCACTGTGAGTAATAGTGAATCTGAAATGTTACAATGTGAAACCATTGACTTGGAGTCATTGATTGTACGTATTAAAAACAGTATAATTATCTTTTTTCCCAACTTCAGAAATATTTACAAAGGTAAAGAAGAAATAGAGTGCTGCAGTGATGATGTACTGTATTTTTGTAGGCCAACCCATGAGTTTGCAGCACCCTGGTTCCCTCGACAAAAGCCAAATAGAATTTTTCCAATGGCTTTTGGATTACTACAAAAAAAGAAAACTCTGTTACCAACAAAAGCTTATGATTCTTACACATTTGGTTCATCATAAAACTCTTCACACATGAACACAGCTGAATTTTAAAGCTTAAGCACAGTCGTGACAAGTAGAAAGCTAAACTTAGGCTATAAACTAACTACACCAGGGTCACATGACTTCAGTGTCACCGCCATTAAGTAAGTGAGTAGATGAGTTGGCGCGATGACATTTAATGTCCCCAACAACCATTTAGTCCCATTTAACCACTTGTGTATTTACTTATGTATTTTAATGCCGTAGAATAAAATGTGTAAACATGAGCTTGTGTTCACCACAGACCTTATTTCAACCAAAAACCCATTCAAAAAACCCTCAGTGTGATGGAACCAGAAGTGCTAAAACGGGAACTTAGTTCCAGGTTTTGGCCTACAAAAACACATCAGAGAGTGTGCTCCACTACACTTCTAGACAGCCTTTTGCAAACTTCTAAGAAATTCAAATGATCAACAGCTTCGGTTCGGATGTTCCAATTCAACCTATTGCAAAGTTTCCAACAGGAGCAAGCACTCTTGCAAGCACTGACGTATAGCCGAATCAACGAGATGAAGGGAAGTTAGCAAGGGAAGGGGATAAAAAGCAAAGTTAGACGCATCCATGGGAATAAACATGTAATCTGCAATGCTTTATGGGAGTGGGTGGCTCCTGCCAGATCAGGACGAGAATACGATTGGTTGACAAGGCACATGTGACCCAACTTGCCATAAGTTGGTTTACAAGTGATGACCTAATTGCCAAATTTCTACTGAATAAATGATGTCATTAGCTAAGCATCATGCCTGTGAATTATTTCATTGAACTCTAGGGACTCTTATTTATAGGTAGTTTGTAATGAATAAGGTTGTACAGAATTTTTACTAGGCTTCTTGTTTAATGAAAATACTTGTATATTGTTGCATGGTGATGGAAGAATATAAGAAACACAGAAAATGAATTAACCTACAGATTAACCTGTAGAAACAAAGATATGAATGAAACAATGTGATTCTGATTCCCACAATACAGTAATAACTCAATTCATTGCAGTCAGCAATTGACTTGAAATGTAACATCAACAACCCAGATGAGTTTTAAATTCATTTTGCATTTGCACTTGCTACGCCACATACGACTGAGCTGCATTTGTTCCAAATGAGATGCTAATGTGCTGTATAATAAAACCATTCAAAGCAAAACACTCCCTTGGATTTTTATTTTACTGCCATATAAACCCACGAGAAATGTTAATCGCAATGTTATTTATTTCAAAAGTCTTATAAATTATTTTAATCACAGTATTTTAAACGTCAAGTACAAAATTACATTCAAATGTTCCTACAGTACTTCAAGTAAATTTAGTGTTCAGCAGTGCTAGCGCTCTAAAGAAAACTCTTTGTGAGAAATGGTACATGGTCAAGCTCCAAGATTTCGGATTCATTGATAGCTCTAAACACTTCAATTCTGCAATAAACTAGAGGGGTATTTTTTGGACCTGAGAGTTTCCGCATGTCTTCATTTCCAGAATCCATTAGTTTGTATGTTTTGTTAACAGTGCACAAAGTGTTACAGCATCTTCCCTACAGATCCCTCTCCAGTTCATCTCTGCTATGTGCAAACTCTGTGTTTGTCACTGAATAATCTGCGTAATGTGTAGACTTGGGTGAGGGCCACGCTGACCATGACCAGCAGACTGACGCTGGACCAGAAAGAAACCCGCCACAGGTTATCCTCCAGCAGGTAACGGTCACGAGTCTCGAACGTCCGCAGCGTCGTCTGCAGCTGACGGCTTCGCTCCAGGTTCTTGTGCACAGCGTCCATTGTGTCCTGTGCGGTGAGAGAAAACATGAGCGAAACATAGCTTCCCACAAAACATTTTTAAAACAATGCATTTGGTTGCAGATGATCAGTGCCAAAACTAGAACTTTGAGGAAAATTTGAACTGCAAATAATTTTCTTAATTCCATTCAACCATTTAAAAAAAAAATTCTGAAAACATTGTGAAAATACCAGCCTGGTAGCTTTTCTCAAAGTCTACTGTAAATTATCAAAATAATCAAAACAACCTGAAACCTGAAAAATCTGTTGTACACAATCTACAATTGACTGATTGACAGTTTATACTTTTTAGCAAGTAAAAGGCCTTTTAGTGTAATTGTAAATTCAACCACTTTCAGGTTGTGATACACGTGTCTATATTTGTTGATTTTTATTTAGTAAACTTAAGAATAACTTTTATATTGTTAGTAACATTTCAAAATGAACACTGAACTGAAGCCACTTAGGTTTACTTATTTATCCATTTTTTAGAAAAAATTATGTGAAAATGTGAAAGAAAAAATCAATTTGATCATAAAATAATGCATTTACTGCATTAAATATCATCTTATTAAGACATTTTAATAGGATATTTAGACTGGCAACTGATATTTATATGCAATTTATGTAAGTAGTCTGTTATACTGCTATAAAAATCTCATTAATTTACATTACAAGCAATCAGAATTTCATCTTAATTTTTTGGCCATATAAATATTAGCAATTGCACCAAATTGCAAATTGTTGCTCAGTTTGGGCCTCAGAATAAAATTGAGTCCCAAAAAAACTTCTTTCTTCCTCGAGTTTGAGCTCCATATTCTCCTATATCATATTATATAAGCCATAAAAGCCTAATGTATCAAATAATGATACCAGAACGTAAACATGTGCAAACTTTTTTTCACGTGTAAATTCTGTTTAAATATTTTATCTAAAGGTTTAGTAAACTGCTCCATTTAAAATATATATATATATATGAGATTTTTCTGATTATCATTTCATATGTTAGGCTTTACAGGGTTAAGTAGCCTTAAAGCGCCAATATAATTTACAGTTTGTTTACTATAAAAACATAACATCTGTCATCTTAAGTCCAGTATGTAGGATGAAAATGGTATCAGAAGAACCTTGTTATAACTTAAAAAAAAAAATTTTTTTCTTCTAGTAATGATTTAATTTTATATTTATCATGCACATGATCCACATGTACTTCCTGCAATAATTGTAAACTGGATACAGGCAGATGTGTGAAGGGATATGTGATTTGTGTACCCTGATATCCTCCAGTTTGTACTCCAGCGAGTCCTCTGGTTCAGCCAGAGCAGCCCAATCTTCATCATCCTCATCCTCATCCTCTGGTCCATCCACGATCACCTCCACATACACCATCTTCTCTGAAATACGGCTGAAACTGTTGTCAAAGCAAATCCTGTAGTCGCCCTCCTCAGTGGGGTCCACCCTGACAGCAAACCCCCAACACACCCACAGCAAGATTACTATAATGCACATCATGACTTCAAGACAACTTGTGAAATATTAGATCATAAAAAAAAAAAAATTTCCGTCCATACAATGGATGTCAATGGTCACCAAAACTGTTTGGTAACCAACATTCTTCAAAATACCTTGTGTTCATAGTCAGACCTAAGGAAGCTTATTTCTGCCACAGAATACAAATATTTAAAAGGTAATTGCTGCTTTTTTTCTCATAATTCTCATAAATTTTTTTCTTGCAATTTTGAGATTATACCTCACAATATAGAATTTTTTTTTCAGAATTGCACATTTTTATCTTGCAATTCACCCTTCGCCGGGAGTGTGATTGACAGGCGATGAGAGACGATCAGTTCACATGCCGCATGAACTGTGGCACTACAGCGATCTGTCACTACACATTAAAGAGCCACAGAACAGTATTTATTGCTTGAATTTATAAAAAAAATGTCAAAATTTGAAAGCTGAGACTTGAAAGCTTTGTTTCATACCAAAAGTAACCTGCCCTGTCTTGTCTGTCGGCACATTGTCAGTGTCCTCTTTGCTCCGCGATGTATTTTTCACTGCATGAGAACATGATGTGTGGTGTGAGAGCACCATGGCTCGTCAGACGCAGCAACAGAAACTAACTTTGCGAAGGCTCAATTGCAAGTTGACATCTCACAGCAATTTTCTCATTTTGCAATTTTGACTTGTTTTCTTGGAATTCTGACATTACATCCTGCAATTCTAATAAAGAAAGTCAGAATTGCAAGATTAACTCAGATTTTGAATGTAAGTAAACTCAGAATTCAGAGAAACAAAAAGCCAAAAATTAAAGATTGTAAACACAATCTTGTGTAAACACAAGATTGTAAACTCAGAATTCAGAGAAAGTCAAAATTGTGGTGTAAACTCAAAATCAAAAAAAAAAAAGCAAATTGCAAGATGTAAACTCAGATGATCAGTTCACGTTTCTCAGAAATCTGAGAAAAAAATGTCAGAATTCCGAGTGCAAGTTTATAACTCAGAATTGTTATTAAAGGGGTCATATGACGTTGCTAAAAAGAACATTATGTTGTGTATTTGGTGTAATGTAATGTGTTTATGCTGGGTTAAGGTTAAAAAAAAACATTATTTTCCATATAATGTACATTATTGTTTCTCCTCTATGCCCCGCCTTTCTGAAACGAGTCGATTTTTACAAAGCTCATCGGTCTGAAAAAGCGAGGTGTGCTCTGATTGGCCAGCTATCCAGTGCGTTGTGATTGGCCAAATGCCTCAAGCGTGTGACGGAAATGTTACGCCCCTACCACATTGTGATGCCCTGTCAGGTCGGAGCGATGATTCAAAAACATGAAAACCCATTATAAACGAGGCATTCGTTGCATCCAGTGGGGACATAATTACGGATTATAATGACTTATACTGTCTTTTTACGCGTTGCGTTGC